CCCGTCTGCCCGTCCTCCGGGGGAGGGGTCGGGGGCGCGGCGCCCCACATAACACTCCCCCTCCGGCGCTCGGAGCCACCCCTCTCCCCTCCCTCCTGCAAACACCACCGCCTCCCCTGCCACCGCCGCCACCTCGCCCGACGCTCCGCAGCTCGCCGCGGCCGGTGGGCGGTGCGCGGACCGTGCGCGCCGGGGGCGCCAGATGTGCAGTCCCCGCCGCCGCCAGTGACCGAGCCGCAGCCCGAGCGGGATCGGGCCGCCTCCCCAATGCTGCGGGGGCGACCTTGAGCGCACCCCGGCTTGCCTCGGCGGGGACCCCGACACCCCGAGCGCTGTGCCCGGACCTGCCCTCTGCAGCCCGGCTCGCCCCGCGTTTGGACATGGAGGGGGCCGCTGCGCCCGCGGCGGGGGACGGCCCGGACTTGGGGCCGGGGGCGCCGGGCTCTCTCCCTGAGGCGGTGGCGGGGGCCACCGCAGCCCCCGCGGCGGCGGCCCCGGAGCCCAGGAAGCCGCACGGGGTGAAGCGGCATCACCACAAGCACAACTTGAAGCACCGCTACGAGCTGCAGGAGACCCTGGGCAAAGGCACCTACGGCAAAGTCAAGAGGGCCACCGAGAGGTTTTCGGGCCGAGTGGTGAGTGGGGAGACCCCGGGGGGGGGGGCGGCGGGGCGCGGGCTAGACGCGACTGGGGACCGAGGGCGCGCGGGGCGGGGGTCTTGGGCACTGAGGCTCTCTTATCCGAGAGGGGCTTCCCGGGAACCCCCAGACAGACTCCTCATTCTCCCCCCAGCTCCCCGTGACTCAGGCGTGTCTCTCTCCCGAAACACTTGTTACATCCTGTCTGCGCATATTTTGGGGGTTTTTATCCCAGCAGCAAAGTAGTGTTTATGATTTGCAAACACTTTGCAGCGTTGGGACCGGCGTAGTCTCCCTCGCGGGCACGCATTCAGACCATGCCCTGGAATGCCTTATTGCTCTAACTCCAAACAGACCCACGTCCTCAGCTCGGAGCTGGTCCCCCAAGTCCCGTGTCCTGTGGATGAATGCGACTCCCTCTCCCCCTGCATCTTCCCATTCGTACTCCTCATCACGCTGGTGCTGGTGTCTGCTGCATGGGAGGGCAGACTCCTGCCTGTTTAGGTTAGGGAGCAAAAGCGAAGAAGGCTGCTGCACACCTGAGGATTGTGACAGTTAGCGTCTGCCTTCTGGCAAGACTAAAACGCCCAGGGCATGAGTAGCTGCACAGACGCTGAGTTGCAGCCGACTCAGTTGCATTTCAGGTCCTGACTGCAGGGCTACTAAATTGCTTCAGGGGTCTAGCCCAGCCCCCCCACTCTTTGTGACAGCTGAAACCTTGCCAGAGTCCCAGCGCCATTTGCACATGCCCAAGGAACCCCCTTGAGTGCCTTGGGGTCTCTGCGTTGTCCCAAACTTGGTTTGTTGTCATTTTCCTTTCTGCAGAACAAGCTGTTGAAATCCACACTGCTTGTGGCTAGAGGGTTAGGTTCAAAGTGACTGACTGTTGCAGAAAGATTTTGAGTGGTGTGTGGCAGAAAATTAACACGGTTCTTTGATTTGCAGCATCTTAGATGAATTTTAATCAATTTAGAGCCAAAGTCAGGAACTAATTATAGGACTCCTTGTGTACACTTTTGGGGATGTTTCGGGGCCCAGGGTTGCTTATATACTTAGATGACCACAGGGAAAAAGCAAAATGAACTGTCAGATGAAGTTGTAGGTTGATGTTGATCTTTTTCTTTTGCATCTGTGCAGGAACAGTCCTGTGGAAAAAATGGGGCACCAATCGGGAAGTTCAGCCCCCAAATTCCCAAATATTTGGATACTTGGGTAGCTCCCTCATTCTAAGCTTCACTGTTTGGGTTGATACAACTTTATCCTTTAGCTTTAAAAAGAAAGTCTGTTGTGGGTTAATTGGAAATTTGAGACATGGTACATTGTATTTTTAAGCTGTCTCCCATAAAGAAATTCTATAACAAGCTAGTAGTTGAGAATTCACTGCGCAGGTGTCATTTTTGTAGGTTGAAAATTTTAAGGAGAAGATGGATGTAAAGATGTCCTTTTGAGGAGCACACTTTTGGGTTTGTGGAAGAAGATGCTGAGAAACGTGCACTTCATTCATACTTTCCTTCTGAGGTGATATTCCCCAGGCTGGATGTTGAATAAGTAAAAGCTAAGCTTAGCTCCTTGCTCATGTTGTCTTAATAGCTGTTGAAGAATCGCGCTGGGAAGTTGGAAAGCAGAATAATGAAAAACAGACGCGGTTCTAGCTGCAGGTTGAGGATGTGGGCTTGTGAGGGGTTGAGTGGCAAGGGTGTGTCTGGGCTCTGTGAGGGGACACAAGAAGCCTGAAGGCTGGGGAGCTGCTGCAAACTGTTTGAAAGAATGAAACCTTGTCTTATGGCAGACACCTTTTGAGCTTCACTGGGGCTTCCTGTCAGGCATTCGTCTCGCTGCCTGACCCTCAGACTAGGTTACAGTGAAAGGGATTGCACCAGTAGACGGGAGCCTGCCTTTCTCTCTTGCTGGGTGTCTCTCTCTTTATTTGCAGAAACGCTGAACATTCCGTCGGGATTTAGTGGAATGGCCACTAGGGGGCGCCCTGAGAACGGAAGAGGCTCTTTGCCGCCAGACTTGAGCCCTGCTCTCTTATTGTCCATTTCTAGTGCGGTTTCCCATTGTTATTAATTTCAGCTAAATCTCTTGTTTTACTCAAAAAGTAGGTAAAGATTTTGAATCTGGTAGCAGATCCAGGCCCAGAAGTTGGCAATCCCCAGACTGCTTTCTACTTGATAGATAAGTTTCGAATGTTAGCAGAATCAGCTGGTGAAGACTTGGCATTAAACAGATGGGAAAACTGAGGTTGGGTGATGGCAAGGCTGCCTGCTGAGCGCAGTGCTCACAGATGCTGTAAGAACTTAAGTGAGAAACAGGGATTGTCAGGTGGAAAATTCCCTGTGCCTGGCTCGACAGAAAATAAAACAAAGCCACAAAAAATTGGTCAGCAAGTTGTTCTTGCCTGTAGGCTGTTTGGTGACTCAGAATCTGTCAAGAGCTGCAAGACATTTTCATCTGATGTATGAACCTGGAGTTTTCTTCTGGTTCTAAGGATGCACAAAATATATACAGCTTGCTTTTGAGGTGCAGTTGAGGAGAGCTGAGAGAGTGCTGTCTCAGTTCTGCCTTTTCAGTCTTCGGGGAGAGTTCCGAAGTGGTGTTTTGTTTTCATTTGATTTGTTGCCCTGCCTTTTATAGCACCTTGCAAGAGGAGCAGCGGCTTGAAGCCACTTTGCTGATGTGAGTGGCCGAAGTCTGGTGCATGAGATGCTGTGGAATCAGCACAGCTGATTGAAAGCAGCTCAGAGTCAGAAAAGTGTTTAAAAATGAGAATGTTGTGGCTTTTAATTGCACGTCTGGAAGGGCCTTCTGGATGAAACAAAACCATACGCCATCGTCTTCTATGTTCTGTGAAAGGCAGTTCTGAAGAGAGTTGAAGTGTTAGGAACTTGGAGTCCAGCTCTTTGCGTGGTCCGGGCATCCCCCCCACTTCATTCCCACATGTGGTCTTGTGGCCACTGCCTGAGCATGTCCACGTGATGAGGACTCAATGTGGCTTGTTCCAGAGATTAGCAAGTGCAACAATGAGGCCCTCTTGCAGAAGGGCTAAGAGCTCTGGCTTATGTGCAAATCCTAACTGACCCTTTACTAGTTTTGTGACCCTGCACAAGCTATGTAACTTTGAAACCTCAGCTTCCCCACCTGTAAAATGGGCTACTAATAGTACCAACTTCATGGACTTGTAAGAACGGAATAATCTGTAGAAAGCCTCAAAGGGGAAATAAGCCAGTGTAGTTTCCCCTTTCAGCAGGTTTGTTTTCTCATCTCCCTTGGACTTTCATTTAGATTTATGACCATCAGAGAGACATGATGCAATGGACAGTTAGCCCTGTATCACTCAGGGAGAGGCAGGGGAATAATCAACTTTTCAGGTTAATTAGGGAATGCTAGGTTAATTAGGGAAGTGGGCCCGTAGGAAGCCAAGACAATCAGCCAGATTCTGATAGGATCTGAACGCATTTCTAAAGCCTTGAATTTGGCTTTGTTTATTGTACAACTTTTGTTTTGATACAATTTTGGGCAGGGCTGTGGAGTGGTGCCCCCATGTCATAAAGTGGTGTGCGTGTTCTTTGAGCCAAGCTCCCTGGCCCTTTAGGCTGCACAAAGTATTGCCAAAAAAACCCAAACCAAAAACAACATTTTGGGGAGAGGTGTCATGTGATCACCTCACTGTCAAGGGCCAAGTTCAACTTTCCCTCTGCACTAGGTTTTCTCTTGTGAGCAGTGTGGTGCGGTGTGAGCAGGGGGCGAGGCCTCTGGGAGGGGTCTGGCATGGGAGTAGAGGACTGGCAGGCAGAGTGTGCTCCCAGTTTGCCAGGGGGTCCTTGGGTACCAGAGCTCTAGATTGGATAAGGAGGCATCTTCATTCAGCAAGGGAACTGATTTGACCAAGAATGGGTGTTTTAATCACTGGCCCAAAGTCATTCATAGCCTGGCGCTGGAAAACTGCAGATCAGTGGGGCAATTTAGTAAGCTGGCCTGCCGAACCGGGGAGTGTGTGGCTGTCATATGCATGGTGGCTGAGGTGCCGCCATGTTGCAGCTAAGGCCCAAACCCAGTTTCAGGGAGCAAGGGACCTTGGCAAATGTATAGTCCGAACTTCTCATCCTGGAGGTGGGAACAATAAGGCATAGAAGTGTTAAGTGACTTTCCTGAGGTTGCCCAGCTGGTAGGTGACTGACCTGGGTCTAAGCAACCTGATTCTAGAGTTAGTATTTTTCCATCACTCATGTAACAGACATGATCCTCAATCTTAAAGAACTTACAATCTAGTAGCGAAGATGAAATGTATTTACAAATATTGAGCTAATTCTGTTCACTTGAACAAAGATTTATTGCCATCTGCCATGTGCTTCTCGCCATGTTATTCATGGGACATAGACACAAATAAACCCAAGGAGCTTCTAGTCTGGTGAAAGAGAGAGTAAGCAGCGACTAGGCCGTGGGTACCTCTTCTATGCAGGACTCAATTATTTCAGGTGATTTTCAAGTTGGAGTGTAGCTCATTGAAGCTTAGCTCATTAAATTGCATTCAATCCTGGATAGGAACACCCTCTCCCCGTATTGCCTCTGCTGCTGTTATTTCTACCAGCTGATATTTTGAGAGCTTGGGGTGTGTCACACGTGCTAAGTGCTTTACAGACATTTTCTCTCACTTAATCCCTACAATAACCCTAAGAGGTGTGCACTCTGGTTAGGTCCATTTAACGGATGGGGAAAAAGATGCTTAGGGAGGTCAATCACTTGCCCAGGGTCATACAGCTAGACAGTGTCAAACAGCTGTATCTATTTTGCAGCCCATTGCTGCTGGAGAAATGGAGAACATTCCTTATATTGCACAGCTGGTGACCTCTGGACTCAGGCATGGTACTTCATTCATGGTACCTGAAGACCAGCCAGGGGGTGATTCTTTTTCTGGGGAGTTTCTTGTTGCTCTTCAGGAAGGAGATGTAGAGAAGGAGCCATGGAATACTTACTGTAGGATTAGGAGGGCAAAT